GTTTTCTAGAAGAGAGCCTAGATCTGAGCCTCTGACATTCTTGTAACATGCTCCTTGCAACTGGCCAGGCCCGTCTGCTCCCTTGGGTCACCAGAAAGCCCAGAACCAACAACAATTGTATCACCTGAGTTCATCTTCACGGTCTCTGCATCCATGTCTCTCTCATTCTGATGCCTTCTGCATTATTTCTATTTTCCTGGTTCTTGGGCATGAGTGAGAGATTCAGCAGAGGCCCTTCCTGGTCTGAGGCCCAGCTTTTCACTAGCCCGTGAACAGGGATTTCAACTCTGTTGCTCAGTCCCGGGGTGCAGTGGAAGAATAAAGAACCTCCTTATAGGTGGGTTATGAGCATTAAATGAGACATGACTATGAAGAGCTCAGCCAGGGCCTGGTACAACCTAAGCCATTGACATGGGCCTCATTTCCCACTCTTGTTTAGTATTTTCTGTGAGCTGCCATAAACCTTTTATGGAATCTAGTGGAAGTAGGATGTAGAGAAACAGGAGAAGAAGGCCCTGCCCGGCGTCCCTCAGAGGTCATCTTTACTTCACACCCAGAGCCGACTTCACACCCAGTCCTGGGGCCTGAGTTTGCTGATGGCAGATGAGGGGCTTGAGGTCTAGAGGCCTTGCATCTGTGACCTCAGAGCACAGGTCACCCAGATATCTTTCTAGGTGAACCTTTCCAGGATCACCTAGAAAGATATCTGGGTGACCTGTGCTCTGAGGTCACAGATGCAAGGAGAGTCGAAGGCAGGAAAGTGGGACTCTTACTCCCCACCATCTCCAACCCCCTTCTCCTAGTCTTGTCTGTGGGGACCGTTTATGCTCCCCTACCCCAGGCAGAGAACCCAAAGCACTGGCCGTGGAGAAACCTGAGCTTCAGTCATAGTGTCTATCTGCACCAGGCCTTCCTTTACCACCTGCGGGCTCCTTGAGGCAAAGACTATGGCCTGCACCCGTTGACCCCCTGTGAAAATGCTTTTGTACTGCTTCAGAGACAGGAGGCCATTGAGAGGAGACAGCACTGAACTGTCAGAGGGCCAGACTGTGTCTGACCTTCTGCCCATTGCACAGATAGGGAGACTGAGGCCACACAGTCCTTACACGACAAGCCAGCATCTCCTGGGTACCATGGAAAACGAATTCACTTTTAGGAGAATATTTAGAGGTACCCCTGAGACTGGCCAGGATCTTGAAGGGGTTTCAGAAACAGACCCCTCTCTCTTCCTTTTCTCCCCCAGATATCCCCTTGTCTTCAAAAGATGCACATCAGGGGACCTGGGCTTTCTGGCAGCCTATTTCACCCTACTGAGCCCTCCCCCCTGGTCCAGCCACCTCCCCACCAGTGGCCTGGGGGCAGGGCAGGGCCAGCCCTTGTAATTGCAAGCAGCCCGTGCCAAGGCAGCCTCGAGGGGGCAGGGAACAATTCCTCCTACATCAATATTTATTGCCTGAGAGCTGCTGGAAGCAGATCATCATGTTCTCAGTCTTTGGTTCTTTTTTAAGAACCTCTCACCCCCTTTCCTCCCCACTCCCCATCCCCAAAGTGCTGACAGGATAAATCCAGACAGCCAGACAGGTTCACAGTTGGGGAGCCAGGGTTTCAAGGCATCACAGAGACAGTTCTTAAAACCTGAATCTCTGCATCCTAGCAGCGTTGACTCAAGGAATCATGTGTCCCCAGAATCCAAGGCACAGAGAGTGTTGCTCCAGGAATTTAGCCTCAGCCTCATACAGGACAGAATAAAACATGAAGGGACTTGTTCAAGGTCAAACAACTGCCTGGTGATTGAACCTGAGCAGGCAAGTCTTGCCTCGCTGGTCCCACCTGCTGTGGCCCACGTAGCTGTTTGCCTCTTTAAATTTGGGGCCAGACTTGGAGATTTTCTGTAATCAGCACTGCAGTTTGTGCCTGCCTCGATGGTCCTACTCGCAAGTGCACTTCCTCAAGTTCTAGAAATTCCGTCTCCTCCAAATTTTGGCCTGAGCTAGGTAGAACCAGAAAGGACCATCTGTGGTTCCAAGCTGTCTTCTTCCCTTGAAACTGGTTCCTTTCCAGGCCTGCCTTCCCCTGCCTCTGAGCCAGCCCCAGGCAGCCCTTCCCATCTCTGGAAAGTCCCCACAGCAGAGCACCCACATCTGTGCACCCTTTAGGGGGGGCGGTTTGGACTTGTCCCTGTGCTCCCTTGCTGGCAAAGCCCTGGCTCCGTAGCCAGAGCTGCTACTTGGTTGGTTGGTGGGTTGGTGGGTTGGTCGCCCTGCCCAGCTTCTCTGCTCCTCCTCTCTGCCCCTTTGCAGTATTTTCTAGGCTTTGCAGGGAGCCCCAGCACTCCCTGATCACCCTCCTAGGGCAACCCCGCTGCAGTGGAAGCTGGCAGGCGAGGCCTTTCCCGTTCTGGCCCCTGCTGGCTGTTCCAGCATCATTGCCCTCGACCCTATCCTTTGCTCCAGCAGGATGGTGGGGGTCCTAGGGCAGCCGGGTCTGGGAAACTGACAGCTTTGGACTCAAATCCCAGCTTTTCAAGGTAGAGATATTTTTAACCTTTCCTCCCAGGTCTAGACTTTCTTGCTCTAAGGAGACTCTGTTTCACATCACGGTAAAATTATTCAAATGCGCCAACTTGCCACATTAAATGGAATCATTCTTGCTGCAAAATTGCCTACAAGACTTTTATAAATTGTCCCATTGAGATTAGAATTACTCAGCACCAAGTAACTTACTTAATGTATGACTGTCTGTGATTTTTCAATTACCTCCTTGTGAAATGATAATAAGTTTCTACAGCTGGTTTCTGACAGGAAGCTCCTGAAACTTAAGAATTGGGGTGATAGGAGAACCTATTGTAATATTTAGTCTTTGATCTTAGTTTCTGACACAGAGGTCTTAAGACCTTTGTAATTTTCTGAGTTACAGGAACACCTGACCTTAATCCCTCGGAATTTCCTGGTAACAGAAGCACCTTGGGTCCAATGAGGCAACTCTTGGTGGAATCGGAAGCTGGTCACAGAAAGGCCAGTTAATATTAAAAACTTGGACCGTCCAGCTCTAGCCCCCCATTCAGCAGAGAGGCGAGAGGGCCTGGGAATACAACTAATAGTCAGCCACGTATATATAGAGAAGTCTCTATAAAAATCCCCAGGTACAGAGCTCAGGAAACATCCAGGTTGGGGCACACATCAATTACCAGAAGGGAGATGTACCCCAGCACACAAGGACCGAAACTTCTGCACTCAGGAACCTTCTAGGCTCCACTCTGTGCTTCGCTTCCTCGGGCTGTTCATCTGTACCCTGGTAATATGCTTCCCTGAACTCTGTGAACAGGTCTAGCAAGTGATGGAATCTCAGGTGAGCGGCACAGGGAGATCTGACTTGCAGCTAAAGGAGCTGACATTGTGGGTAAGCTGGGGACCTGGCGCTTATGGCAAGAGTCTGAAGGGAAGGCGGTCTCACAGCTGAGCCCTTGACTGGTGGGAGCTGAAGCTTCTCCAGTTGGATGGTATCAGAGTCGAACTGGACCATAGGACACCAAGCCCGTGTTGATGAGCCCCGGTCAGCATGGGAATAACCCATCTATCTGGCCTGGCCTGTGTGAGTGAAGGGGAAGCACAGCAGTGTTTTCTCTTTATGCTTCCCTACTTGGGAAAAGAGAAAACCAAATGGAACAGAATGTGTAGGAGTAACAAAAGTTAATGAGGTTGAACCTGATGCATGTAATGAAGCATTCAAAAATTCAATTGTTAAGGGGAAGGATGTCCTGAAGGAACTCTGCAGAGTCTTGTGGACTCCATCCCGTACTCCAGCTTTCTGGACCCTACACACCACTCCAGTGATTGGAAACTACAACTCCCAGCAGTACCAGGGAGAGAACTGCGAGGACCCAAGGGTGGAGCTAGCAGGAATTCTGGGATATTTGGGGGGTAAATAGGGCATGATTGCATCTCACACGACTCTCTCTCTCGCCCGGGAAGCAGCTCTCCTGACTGCATGACTCTGTGTGTTCAGTCAGCCTAGCCATAAGTTATACCAGTTACCTTGTATTCCTCTCGCTTTCCCTGGGTTGTTCCTTTTCCTTTCCCCTTTTGTAAATAAACCCGTTATTGACCCTTTTGTGTGTCCCTGCAGTATAACTGAGTAGTGAGTGAGCGGGTGAGGCCCCACAGACAGGCGGCCCAGTCCACTCTGGGCTACCCTGTAACACTATTTTGTCATTTTCTTTTATATTTTGAAGCCCAGTGGGTTGTTTATCAGTCTCCTACTTCTGTGGGTCCCTGGAAAACTTGGAGAGCTTCTTGCCAGGAATCTTCTCTCCTGCCCAGTGATGACGTGGCTCAGCCCTGCTCACCAGCTGTGACCCTGGGCATACCCCTCACCTGCTGAGTGTGAGGCCTCCTGGTCCACTACCCATACGCCTGAGCCCCTCCCTCGTTTTTATTTATCAGCGTGCCTTTGTCCTCCTAAGGCTGCGCTGTTTGAGGGTAGAGACCATTTCCTGAGCTCCACTAGGCAGAGACTGTGCACTACGTAGAGGCCAAGGACTGGATCCCAGCATCCGGCACAACAGCTAGCCTAGAGACTCACGTGGTGGACATTTGTTCCTCGCTGTCCCTGAAGAGGCTCCATTCATTTCTGTAGTCAAATCCTTCACCCGGCTGTGTCCACACCTCTCTCCTCTCCCTGCCTCCACACAGCCTTCACAGTCCAGCTAACGCCCCTCTTCCTCTCAAGCCTGCACAGACCTCCCACCACCCTCCACCTACACCAGGTCTCAGCCTTGCTACGGCATGTTCAGAGTTTATAAAACACTTGAAGGGACGAGAAGAGAGGCCTCAGAGCAGCGGTTAGTGCGAGGCGTGGGCCCAGGCAGACTTGGGCTCCTGTCCCAGCACTTCCCTGGCTGGCGTGTGGCCTGTGAGGTCAGTGCGCAGGAGGGGGGAATGGAGCTTAAGGTCACAGAGGAGTCAGTGGGGGTGGGGCCAGGGACAAGGAAGGGGTCTTACTTTGCTGGCAGAGGATGCTGTCATTGCCAAGATCCTTCGCTGAAAGTGAAGCTCGTGCTTTTCCTTGGGCATCTCCCTCGGGAAGAAGAAGTAGGGGATGGCAGCCAGGGCCACGGCACCAGAGGCGACAAGGAAGCCCAGCCACCAGGCACCCACCCAGCGGGGGTCCCTCGAGGTCAGGCTGATACCACCTGGAAGAGAAGACCGCGTGAAGTTGGGGCCAAGACCCTGAAACACAAGGAGTCAGGAGACTTGGGTTACAGTTATGGCCTCTGTGGCCTCGAGCAAACCCCTGGCCCTCTCTGGCCCTTGACTTTGTTACCTACTAAGCAATGTATGGAGAGGTCGATGTCATGGGCTTTGGAAATGAACTTCTAGGCCTGAATTATATAACTCACATAAATTTGAGCAAATTACTTAACCTCTGTGTCTGTTTCTTTCTCTGGAAAGCACAGGTAGCAATAGTGCCTAAACCATAGGGTTGTTGTGAGAATCATGGAAACTAGTACAGGCAAAGCACTCCACATGGAGTTGGTGCATTGCTCTTCTGTGTGATGCTGTTCTCACTGGGGTTGCCATGAAATTCATGTTTCACATGCTTGTAGTTCTCACACCTACAGGATGATTAAAACCAGCAGAGGGCTTATCAAAAATACCTGGCCTTGGGCCCTCCCTGCTGGCACAACAGGTTAAAGCACAGCACTATGAAGCTCTCCGCAGCCACTGCGGCATGAATTTGATCCCCAGTCAGGGACTGACCCACATGGCGCAGCAGACCTCTCCTGACCCACCTGCTGCTCCCCTTGGCAGTGTATTTCAGTCAACCCCCCTGTTCCGTTCTCTACTCTGTCTCTGCTGATCCTCTCACCTCCCACACCTCTGGCCTGTACCCCAGTTCGTGTGTATAAATAAATAAATCTTTAAAAAAAAAACCTGGCCTTTCCCTGTCATAGGTTATCATATAACTTAGCCTATCATAGGTTGGGGTGGGAAGATGACCACGAAATCTGTACCTTTGACAAGTTCCCTGGGTACAACTAGATGAGATGATCCAGGTGTACCTCCTGACTGGAGTGCACACATCTCCCATCAAACCTCCCATCAAACCTCAAGGTCAGCAGCCACAGTCTTGTAAAAACACTTGATCAAAATACAAATGCATGATGACACCCATCCAGGAGTGGGACTGGCTATGGGGTGCCTGATCCCAAGCCTCAGCCCATCTCGGGTGGGGCCCAGCATACACAACATGTTCTCAGAGAGCCTATCTGCAAGGCTGGGACAGAGTTGGCTTTCTCCCTGATTACCTCCTCCGCTTCTTAGTCCCCCGCTCTGTGCCAGGCTGGTGAGTGCTCACAACTCCTCCACTTTTCACACGCTAGTTTCTGCCTGCAGCAGGCACGATCTGCCCGTCCCAAGAAACCCCCCAAGGAGAAGCAAGGACTAGGGAAGAAACACTCTGGTCCGCAGCCAGGCCTCATTTGGCCATGAAAGCGCCACACCTGCCAAAATGATGTCAAAAGACATCATAAAACACACCTTCTCCCAAGCTGGGGAGTTTGGGGAGCTACAAGGATCCCTCAAGCGCAACCCTTTTCTGCAAGGAGAGAGGAGCTGCGACCAGAATCAAGTTTTGGCTCCTGGGCCCAGATTTTGAGAAGAGAGGTGATGTGGGGCAGTCCCTGGTGGCTCTTGCTCAAACCTGCCCTACCTGGAAGCACCTTTGACAAAAGCAGACTAAGAAGCAGGACCTGCCTTTCTCTCTGTTTGTACACATGTCACCTGAGGCTTCCAGGGCTTGCTGGAAAGTCTCCAGGTGAGAGATGGACTTCAGAGAAGCAGAAAGCAGAAGGCACAACAGGGGGCTCAGAGCTGCTTGGTGTGGCAAGCGGCAGCTGAAACGGCCTGTCACCTGTTCTACAAGGACCCGCTACCATTCCCCATGGAGTGCCAGGGTGCCACAACCTCCTGCCACCTCCTTCCTGACTGCCTCAGCCCGAGATTCAGTCCTACTCCTTGGCCCAGTCTGATCACACTTGGATCAGAGGCCACTAGCTCCCGATGGTGTGCTCTGCACAGTTTCCTGGTCAGGGAACTGTGAGAGAGGCCACTCGAAATTTCTCTCTAGTCCTTGTTTCACCGAGTCTTGTTCTTCCTCAAGATGGGTGCTTCCTACAGGCCAAGGGAGTGTGTGTGCCTGTGTGGGCAGCTGAGCAGGTGCTGGGGGGCTGGGGAAACTGAGGAAGGGGACAGGAGAAGGCTGGCAATAACAGCAGGGATAACCTCCACCCCTCCGCATCTGATTATGCTTAGTAGGTTTCCTTCCTCTCACTGGGTTCTGATGGCAGCTTTCAGACCCAGACAGGAGAGCATCTGAAAGATGACAAAGCTGGGGCTCAGAGTGGTCAGAGCCTGTCCAAGGCCAGTGGGCATGGTGGGTCCCCTTGTTTGGGACGGCAGGCCTGTGTCCCAGGGACTGCTGGGGGCTCGTGAGGCTTACCTTCCGGCATTCGGTCAATGTCCACATACAGGCTCAACATGAGGCCGCCCAGCCCATAGGCCATGCCTGGCCCTATCATGGTCACTGCAAACAGGACCCCTGCAAAATGAAGCCAAGGTTAAGCCCTCTGGCCTGGCTCCCCTCAGTGGGGCAGTCAGTGCCCACCAGACTCCAGGGAACAAAAGTAGCTGGTCTCCTCGGTCAGGCCCAATAAACTGTCCAGGACTTCCCTGGACATTTACTACTTGAGCCTCTCATCTCTGCCTCAAGTGGCAATAAAAGGGATGGAACCAGTCTCACCTAGGTAGAGGGGCGAGTTACTGTTGTGGGCGAAGTCATCGATGTAGGAGATGCCGAAGGGCTGGATGGGCACCCCTCCCACACCAAGCAGGGTCTGTGCTGTGAACATGATGCCCACCACGGTCAGATGCTTGGTCTCTGTGGAATCCGAACAGCTGCCATTGGAGGGGCCCAGGGCTGGGGTCAGGGCCAAGGCTGTGGGCAGGCACAGGGAAGATTCGAAGTCTGGTAGCATGTTGCCTGCAGGATGATAATAGAAAGGAGATGCTGAAGCTAAGAGTTACCAAGCACTTGCCAGACGCGAGGTACTGTCATAACTGCTGTGTCTATAAATCATTTGACATCTAAGGGATTTCCCAGAAGGGGAAACTGATGCTCAAACAGCACTTAGTGCACCAGGACCGGAACCCGGGCAGGGTGGCCACGAGGCCCTCCTCCTTAATCCATCCACTTTCTGAGCAGAGGTATATGGACAAGCTATAGCAATGGGGGCCTCTTGAGTGGGTTGGGGTGTTCAGAGGGGGTAGAACCAATTGGATTAGGGTCAGGAAGAGCAAACACGATTTTCCAGAAAGAGAAGTGAGGAGGGGAGTTCCAGGGAGAGGCCACGACCCATGCAGACCCAGGGGCTTGAGAAGCTCAGCACAGCTGGCTCACAGAGGATGAGGGACAAGGCCAAGGTGAAGGCCGGGTCAGGCAGGGGAGAGGAGCTGGGCTGCCCTGTGGAGGACACTTGTGTCCTTGGCCCTCGTGGGGGAAGGAGCAGGGTCAGCTCAGGACACACAGATGCACAGTGCAGTAAATTTAGGGGAATTTCTTAATTTGGTAGCAGACACTTGTTCCCTGTAACTCACCAATATTTGGTGAGCAAACTTAAGGAGACCCTCACACTATTATTATCCCAAATGTGGGTGTGAATGTGGCCTTCTCTCTGTGGTTGGCCCACCCCTTCCGGGAGCCCGGGTCCTGAGTGGTATCCACCCAGCCTAGAATGCCACTTTCTGGGACTAGAAAAATCCATGTGAACCAAGGTCAGGGAGCTAGGCCTGCAGGTAAGGCTGGCTGGGCTGGAGCCTGTGGGACTTTGAAAGAGATCTCATCCCTTCCTGGGCCTTGCTTTCCTATCTCTTGTACAAGCTGCCTAGCATGGTATTTCTTTCTTGTTTTTGTTTTCTTTTGTAAAAGTTTATTTATTTCTGTGTACAGAATGGGAGTAAAGGCCAGAGGTGCGGGGGGCGGTGAGAGGATTCACTAGACACAGAGTGGGGAACAGAACAGAATCTGAGACCTAGAGGAGAATGACTCGGTAGCCTGGAGCAGGGCCCTAAGGCCAGGCTGGCTGGGTGTCACACACTCCACTATTTGCAGGGAAGTCCCTCCCTCCCCAGTCTCCATCAACTCACTTGTGAACTAGGATAAGGAAACACCTTCCTTATAGACTTGGTGAGATGAGAGGTGTCCACACACAGTGCTGATTATTAGACATGACCATTACGGGGATCAAGCGTCTGTTTCTACCCTGTGTCCCCAAGGCCTAGCAGAGGGCCTGGCACGTGGGTATTAATGAAAGATTAGTTAAGTACGTTTGGATGAAATATGAGTGAGTGAGATCGTCTGGAATAGCAGAGTAGGATGCGTGCTTGAAGGTCGCCAGCCCAATCTGCTCAGTGCACAGATGTGGAGACTGAGGCTCAGTCAGGAGATGGGCTTTGTGCCCTGGGACACAGTAGTGGGGCTCCCGTGGGCCCCTCCAGCCCAGCCCTCCTGGTCTTACCAGCGCTGCTGTGCTCGAAGCGGTATGGCTCTGAGATGAAGTGCGGGAGGGCCATGACCAGCCCCGCCAGGGCCACGAGGACAGCCCCGCAGCCGATGAGTCGGGGCCGGTGCACCCGGCTGCCAAAGTAGCTCACAAACACGATCAGGGCTGTGTTCCCCACCTGCAGAGTGGTGAGGGACCTGTTAAAGTTGAGCAGAGCCCAAGACACACACCTGTGCTGCCACTGACTTTATCCCCAACCTCAGTATTCCTGTCTGTGTAATGGATATTCTGGCTGAATGAGCCAGCTGGGTCCCTCCCTTGGGTACAGATGCTGGGTCCTCCTGGGAAGGGCAACTCCATCCCATTAAGAGAGCCAAATGGGGGAGAGTCGACAAGGCTAGAGCTTCAATTTCATGGCGATAGGACCCCAAGTCAGAACACAGAAGGTGAACCATCAAGGAGAGGTTTTGAGTTTCTGGGGCATCACGAATGAGAAAAATAAAGCAAGTCTAAGGCCCGAGGACCCAGGCTTGGGGTTTTGGGCCTTAGAATCAAAATCTAGGATGTGGGAGTTGGAAGGAACTCGAGGGCTTGCAGGGGAGGGGCAACTCTGTCATCGGGGGCTGGGTATGCACCCTACTACACTGCTCACTGGCTGGTGGCCACTGGGGTCCTCATGGCCTGAGCTCCCAGACCCCGCTGGTGGAGGGGAAGTAGCAGCTGAGGGTTGGCGGGAGGAAGGAATCTGGGAAGAACAGCAACTCTACAGTTCATAGATGTGCCCCTGAGGCCCAAGATGGGGAGTGGGTCTTCCCCCCAAGACCCAAGACTGACTAATGGCCTTCCCTTCCCACCTCTGAAACCTGGAGGTGGGGTGCTGGAGACTATCTGGGGGTGATGTGGAGCTTTTAGGTTCTGGGTTAAGAGGAATATGACCCATTACCCAAGGGGTAGAGAATTTCACAGAAATCTGTGGGAGTAGGGAAGAAGGAGAATGTTCTCCAAAGAGAACTGATGCCTTCTCTGAGGGAACGACTTGGCACAGCTGGACTGTGACCTCCAAATCCACCAAGCAGCTCGCCTGCTTCCTGCTGCCTGGAGCAGAGGCTCCTGGGTCCTTGGGCAACTCAGAAGGTGACCCACCCCCACATCCCAACCTCTGAAAGCTCTTTCTTATCTATAACTTAACCCCCTAACAAGTGATCCAAGGGCAGGATGGACCTCCGGTCTGACCTTACAAGGGCAGAGGCGGGGGACCCTATGCATCTCCTGTTAGGCCTTGTCCTAACACCTGGCTGGTCAGTTTCCAGGCCAGGACACTGCAGAAGCAGCTGGGTGGGAGGAGGAAGCTGCAATGGGTTTGCCTGCACACAGGGAAAGTGCTTGTGGTGGGGGAGTAAGAAAGGAGGGGTGGGGGGTGTCGGATGAGGGTATGGGATCCTTCAAGAACACCCCTATGATTGGACCAGGCCAGTACCTCATTGAAGGAGGCGAGCAGACCCGAGGTCTGACTGGAGAGGCCAAAACGCTTCTCTACCGTGGAGATGGAGCTCTTGAGGTAGCCGGAGATCATGAGCTGGGCCAGCTGCAGCAGGCTGTGGCACAAGACGAAGAACTGGCCCCAGAACCCCAGGGGTGGCACAGGGAGACAGGTGGGGAGATGAAGAGAGAGAGTTGGGAGAGAGAGAGAAGCCGCAAGTGAAGCAAGGGGTAGAGATGAGGAGACAGTGAGAGCAGAGAGCGAGATGAGCAAGAAGAGAGTCAGAGAGAGGTGGTGGAGCAGGGGAGGGGCAGGATGGGGGGTGAGAGAAAGAATTATTACACAGCTTTTCACACAGGCCTAAAATCTAGAAAAGCTTCTGGATACACTGGCAACCCACAAGACTGAGGGTAGGGGCTTCTTGGGGCCAAGGATGGTGCGAGCCCACTCTGATGCTCAGGGCTAGTACCCCAAAATACATAGGACCTCCCTCTTCCACCACCCTGCCCCTGATCTCCTATCCTTCCCCACCCCACCTGGCCTACCCTACCCAGCCCCACCCCAAACATCTCACCCTGCCTCCTGAAAAACTGGCAGGATTCCCAAGAGAAGAAACACTTGTTTCAGAGAATTAAAAAATAAGGTGTTAATGCCAGAGCTTAGTAACCTTTACTCCATTCTTCCCAGTGGCGGTTTCCTCATCTGTACCAGGTAAATGACTGCCTACCTCCCCCGCCTCCCAGGGTAGCTGCGAGAACTGTGAGCCCGTGTGGAGCAGCACCTGGCACAGAGCCGCCACCCTGTAGGGGCCAGTGGATGCCCTGATGTTTAGGGCTGCCCTAGGTAGAGCAGAACTCCCCTATTCTCATGCTGATCCGCCCCCCCCCCCTCGTGGTCCTTCCCTTTCCCTGTAGGAAAACATGGTGCCAAAGACATCTCCCATTCCCCCACGGAGGTCCCTCTTTCCTCTCTGGAAGGAGAGAACATGCACTGGCTGCCTTCCACTTGCCCAAAGCCAAGCTCCATGTATGAATCATCCCTGAGAGCCTCTTGGCCACTCACTCTACAGGTGAGAAGGCAGACTCAGAAAGGGAGCGACGTGCTTGGCGTTACACAGTCAGGAAGTGGCTGCACCAGCTTTGCCCAGCTCAGATGGTCCTGCTCCTGCCAGGCCCCCAAGGGTACCTTAAGGTTGTGAAACACACGGGTCCGCACGTCCTGAGGGCCTGGGGTGCTTTTGCCTCCAGGTGCGTCTTCTGTGCCCATCATGGCCTTCGTGTCCTGCTCTGGCATCTGGGACCCTTCGCCCATGGGCCCTAAGGGAGAACCAGTCAAGAAGTGAGAGTGAAAATGGCGTTCCTGAGAATGACCCTGACACAGCATCTCACAGGGAAGGAACCTTAGTGGTTGGTGAGAAACTCAGAGTCAAATCACCTTCACCACCCTGCGCCCCAGGTGCTGGAGGGCCCAATCTAGACGGGGTGTGCCGTCCCCTGCCACGTTGTGCAGATGCTGGCGGGACCACCTATGTCAACCTTCCTTTCTGTTCCCAGCATACACCTGGCTTCACGGCGAAGCTGCTGGTCTCCCAGCCTTGAGAGTGGCCCTGGTGTTCGGGACACAGGGTCTTAGCACCTCCTGGATCTACGCTTTGTCATGATCCTGGAGGCTGAGTCTGGTCTGGGTCTGTCTAGCTCAGGCTAGGACCAGAGATCTGGGCCAGGAACAGGGTCAAGCTATACCTATGGTCATATGGTAACTCTATGTTTAACTTTTTGAAGCATTGTCAATTTTTCTGAGCTAGCTGTACCATTATACTCTCCCAGCAGTACAAAGGCTCCCTGGCAGTGTCAGAGGCTGACACTACCTCGGGGTAGTTTGGGACAGACCTGGGACCCCCTCCCCCAGGACATCACTGGGCCCACAGAGCTAACCAGCCCAATCCCCAAATGAGGCCATCAGGCCACATTGCTGCTTGATGTGGAAATTGCCCTCAAAGTTAACATCAGACAACCTGTTCTAACAAACTGAGACCCCAGAATGGGGAGTTACGACAAAGCTGTGTAAAACCTAGACCCTTGCCCATTAGACAGGTGGGCTTCTCCCATGGTGACTTGTCAGTATCCCACTCACTGCAGCAAGAGGAAAGCAGAACCTCTCAGATGCATCTCCCAGGGTCTCCTTATCTCAGCGAGCAGCCCAGAAGTCTGGCCTTGGGAGACTCACCCTCCACTTCAGATGGAAATCACCTGCTGCCTCCTGGCAGCTCAGGCCTCCTTGGCCTTCCGGCCCTCGTAGCACCCCACTTCCTGCGGAAGCCTCCTCCATTGTTTGATAAGCCTCTCAACTCTGTCAGGAGTTTCCCCTCATTCAACAAGCTCCTTTTGGAACCTGGAAAGTAACTTGAGGATGCTGCTGACCCTGAGGGACTCTTATTCCATCTCCAAACCAAGCAAACAAACTCGGGGAGTGGGGGAGAGCTACAGAGGCCTGGAACTGCTGCAAGCAAAGGTCCTGTGCTCCTCACACCAGGGACCTCAGAGTCAGGAATTTTTAAATAACGGTGATATAATTCACATACCATAACATCAATTCCTTCAAAATATACAGTCCTGTGGTGTTTAGTATATTTAAAAAGTTATATGCCATCACCATTATCTTATTCTAGAACATTTCATCACCCCAGTGAGCAAACCCAGATCCATTAGCAATCACTCCCTATTCCTCCCTCTCCTAGCTCCTTGCAAGCACTAGTCAGCATTCTGGCTCTCTGGATCTGCTTATTCTAAATATCTTATATGAATTTATAGAAATGAAATCATATAACGTGGTCCTTGGTGACTGGCTTGTCACATGTTTTCAAGGTTTATCCATGGGGTAGCTGGAATCAGAATTTCATTATTTATCCTGACTGACTAATATTCCATGGCATGTATATGTAGTCGATTTTGTTTATCCTTTCATCTATTGATGGACACCTGGGTTGTTTTAGGCAGTGTGTATATTCATGTACAAATTTTTCTGTAGACACATTTTCTTAATTATTTTGGGAATGCAGACAGGAGTGGAAGCCTGTGTCCTATGGTAACTCTATGTTTAACTTTTTGAGGCATTGTCAATTTTTTTCTGAGGTAGTTGTACCATTATACTTGCCCAGCAGTATAATGGCTCCCCAGCAGTGTAAGATGGCTCCATTTCTCCACATTCTTGCTAATACTCATTATTGCCTGTCATTTTGATTATAGCTCTCCTACAGAGTGTGAAGTGATGTCTCATGTGGTTTTGATCTGCATTTCTCTAATGACAATTGATGTTGAGCATCTTTTCATGTGCTTATTGGCTATTTGTTTATCTTCTTTGCAGAAATGTCAATGCAAAAATCTTGAGGAGTTTGGTTGAAGAAATAAAAGTGTGTCTGACTGAAGAAGAGTCTCTTTGAGGCCATAAGCTCACAGAGGAAATAGGAAGACAAAACAAAAATGACACCTGACAGGGAGGAGATATGGGTTTGGCCAAGTGAAGAAGAGTTGGGGTGCTCTGTGGAGTTGACATTGAAGAGGAAGAGGTGAGGGGCTTACAGCAAACTCACCCAGAGGAGATTAATGGGACCATTTTTGAGTCCTGGTGCCTGTCACCAGCAGAGACTGGCCCCCTGCTTGCATAGGTGCCTGCTGCATGCTCTATATGCATGTCTTTATGTATACACTCCACACAGGGTAACGCCTCTTCACGCTGTGCCTTGTGGTTCTTTTGCTATTACTCTTCTTGTAATGAGGACACCATAGCTCAGAGGGAACTAGCTCTGTTGGTTAGCGAGCGCAAGGACTAAGTCCAGGAGTTAACCTCAATACCACTCCATGCTCCTTGCGCAGGTTTGACAAAGGGAACATTCTGCATCTTGGCCCAACCAAAATAGCCAGGAAGCAGGGGGCAGGCAGGCAGGCAGATGATGGGGCTGGAGCTGACTCTGGAAGGGCAGAGGTCGATGGCTTGGAGCCCCATCACTGAAAGAAGCTGAGGAATGTGTGTGGCAGGGAGACAGAAAGCCAGCCAGCGGAACAGCTCAGAATCTCAGAGCAGGCCGAAACTGAGCCCCAGCCCAGATCCTGGGCCGATGGCATGCCTCCTGGGAATGCCTGAGGCATGCTGGGTGCTCTGCCCACCCCCACACCAAGCGGTCCCATGTGGCCCCTGGAGCCTGACCTCTGGTCCTCCCTGAATCTTCAGTCTCAGCCTCTTCTGCACTCAAGTTTCTAAGTCTCCCTTGGATTCTTTCTTCCTCTAAAGAGAAGGTTGCTTTTGGTTTCTGAAGGGGATTCACAGGCTGAGCCTCTGGGTGTGGGAGGGAGACACAGGTCCCATCCTCTCAACTTTGAAAGCAGACATGGAGTTCAACTGACCAAAGGGGTGATCAGTTGGTCATGGAACAGGCTGATCAGGCAGGTTTGGTCCTGTAGCTGAGGCCTCTACTGAGGGATGGCAGCACACAGCCTGACTCCCTGAGTAAGGTCAGAACTCCCCTGAAAAGAAGCCAGGTTTAGGGCCCCCAGGTAGGCCAAGCAGTTCTAGGGCTAGAAGCCCATGGTCTTAGAACCTGGGCCTAAGGTTATGTGTGTTCCTCATAACCCTGAGGCCCCCTGGTCCTGTGAAGCCATTGTTAGGGGCCAGTCCTGGTGGGAGATGGGTGGTTATGAAAGTCGACTTGGGCCAGGCCAGGGTGATCTTCGGAATGAGGGCAGGGGCAGGGACAGGGAGCCAGGAACAGATTCTAGCCCCTTTCACGGCTCCACTGGGTTAACCCCATCTCTTGATTATCTCTCTCTCTCTCTCATCCAAGCTCCACCCCCAACACCTGAAAAGTGGGCTCCCTCCCCCCCACATATGCTTACCATCTTTGCAGGCCTCCTCCAGCTGCAGTCCCACTTTTACGCAATCCCAGACAAGCCCCCGCCTCTACCTCCCTCTCAGCCCTGAAGTACTGGCCTTCAAACAGATGTCTTAACAAAAGTCTTCAACAAACGTCAAACAAGTCTCAACAAATATTGACCTTTCCTGTGCCATACTCTGTGGCACAGGAAAAACTTTGAAAAGTGGAGTTGTCTGTTATCACTGTAAGCTATAGACTTCACCTCATCAGCCAGGTTTAGGGCCCTCAGGTAGGCCAGGTAGTTCTAGGGCTAGAAGTCCTTATGGTCTTAGAGTTGCAGGCGTGGGGGCCTTGTGCCTGTCACTTGATTACAGGGCTGGTCATTCGCACCCATGTCTACCAGCTGGTTCTGCTGTCCTTCAGGAGATATGTCTGTTTGGCCTGCAGTTGCATAGCAAGTTGAAATTGTTAGCCAGAGACCTTCAGTTCAGTCAGATATGCCAGAGGTCTGCAAGGCAAATCAGCAGTCTGAGCCTAGCTACCCTCTCTGTGGGCAGGACTCGGTATTCTTTACACCAGCTGCATCTGGGTATTAAAGGACATTTCAGAGGGCAATCTGACAGGGAGGCCCATCTTTCTCTGCTGGGCCTTTGCTGGAATCTGCCTCTTCCAGGTGTAAGTGGGCCTGAGTGTTGGTTTCAAACTCCGAACTCCAGTCTTTTCACTGGCCTCTGTGTGGACCTGGACAGTCCCCTTCCTCGTTCTGAGTCTGCTTTATCATAGTTAGGGGAGGATACAGCATCTACCTCAAGGAAGTAAGGCATCCAGGCCATCTGGTCCAGGCCTGTTAAGGACCACGGCCCTTTGCTTTTCTGATAATCTTCAAGGACTTCTGAGACCACTAGGTCCAACAGAACCCATCCCCTTCCATGCACGTTGGCTCCACTGGGTTAACCCCATTGCTTGATTATCTCTCTCTCTCTCATCCAAGCTCACAGCTGGATCTCCCATAGCTCAGGGACAAAGACCTGAGAAGTGGGCTCCCTCCCCCGCACGCATACTTACTGTCTTTGCAGGCCTCCTCCAGCTGCAGTCCCACTATGTGGCCTTGGTCCAGCCGCCTCCTTTCCTTCTTATCCACAAAGCAGAGTGCTAATGTCAACGTCCCAGTGCAGAAAATGCCCTCTGAGCGTCAGAACCTCCTACCCACATTCAGCCTGGACACTAAAAGTCTGGAGCTACATCTTAACATCTATGTCAATTTGACTTTGCTATTCCTCTGTCTTCGGTAACATTTTTTTCTTCTCACTCTTCCCAGACTGACCAATCCACACAAATTGCTTGATTGCTCATTAAAAGAATTTCCAGAGAGACTTTTCCAGAAAAGCCAGCAATACCTCGGAGTCTTTGAAACTCGATCCTCACCTCGTTCCTCACCTCGTAATGTCC